CAACAAAAATCAGTAAAAACAAACTATGTGAAAATGCATATGCGAGGTTTCATTGTATGGGGACGATATATCGTATAAAGTCGAGTGTTAAAAGAAAAAATTGTAACCTTTTAATATATTTTATATAACTGTACATATGTTACCTATATCTGTAATTTTCGTTTGATAATGATATAAGGAAATAAGACAATAAATAACAAAGATAATGTACATTGTAAAGCTTATTTTCTCACTGTCTTTTAATACCATCCCTTTCGGTATGCCTTCTAGGAAGGCTGCATATTTATTCATAATAACTGATTTGTTTAAAGCAGCTACCACTTACTGACACAAGCTTTGGAAAGTGTGATAAGCACTGTTGCCAATGGGGGTCTGGTACGATCCAGTAGTTAAAAACAATAGAGCTATTATAATCTGTAAAAAAATTAATAATGATTTACACAGTAAAGAAATTTGGTTGGAGAACTATCGGATTCTTGTATCCACTTAACCCTTACCTCCACATCCAACCCATCAGACTGTCCTTTAACGGGAATATGTATGTATAGTTCTTCCACCCATCCTGAAAATAATGTGGACAAACGGTATATCGTTTGCGGAATTTCTCCTCAGACATGTTAAATGTGATCGTCTTTCTATGTTTTTCTTTTATTTAAAGCCCGTTCTTAGGCCACTTCCACCTCATAAGCACTTTCAGAAACATTTAAATAGCTGTGCAACATCTTTAATAAACGATAAATGTAGTAAGAAGTTGCTCTCCATTATCTACAACAGAAACATTAGCCTGTCAAATGTAAATACGTCCCCGCAACGTTTCTTTTGTGGTTAAAATGTTAAAATATTTAGCGTGAAAGCAAATGTATGCAACATGTCACATTATCGGCATTTCGTTTGTGGTTTAGTTTTGGCTTTACCGTTGACGAATAGCGCGATTGGCCCTCAGAACATGACTTAAGTATCGCCGTGATCATCACTCAACGAAGCATTTCTTGAGCATTAATTCAAGTCTTAAGCATTTCATTTATTCTTGAATAGTACTCAGTGTACCACTCAGCTGAACTACACTCAAGTTTTCACTCAAGTTTGGGTTGGGATCACTGACTTACAAATAAATGGACGACGGGTCTAATACAAAAACCACGAAAAAATGTCCCAAATCAACCTATTTAAACGTAGTGACATGTAAAGGAATATGAAAAAGCTAAAACGTTGAATTTAAATTGTAATGTCATCGCAGTATCGCGCTGTCAGTCGAACAAATGAAGACTAAAGCGGAGTTTGACGCTCTGTATACGATTTTAACGCCTTACAAGTTCGGACACTTTTTAGCACGGACCCGACGTCCATATAATTGTAAGTCAATGGTTGAGATTATCTATGGTTCTATGCGATTTCAGTTCATTTATGAAGAGGCGAAGTGTCAGAAGCCAATTTGCTTACGTTTCCGAACATGTTTTCAGGTCAAATTATATTATAATTAATATAATATTACTATGGAAATATAATCAACATTTACATAGTTTTTAAAATAAGTATCTAAATTTTATTTATCTATTTTCAAATATTTTTTTGCGTAGCTCAGAACAGATTTAAAATATTGATCGACTTAATTTATTTAATTTGTTTTATGTCTCAGTGAAACAGAATCAATCATAAAAAAGTTGACCGTTTAGGCTTTTTTATCAGCTGCTTTTATAAATTTAATATTAAATTATTTAAAAAAAAAATTATGATTAATCATTACAACAAGAATCTTTCGACTATTAACAAGGCAAAAGGAATTTACTCGTTTTTCAATATAAATATCTTATTTTGCACAGTAATTATAATGGCTTGATAAAATTCTTCCAATCCAATGCTTAAAGTAATTTAAATTTCTCATATGTT